ATTTCAAAAACATGTCGTTCTGTATGGGTATAGTTTTCGGATCTTTCATTAGCGTATTTAAGGCTATAAAAAGTTTGGGCTTCAAAAGTTCACACAATTATTGACTTTATACAGAAAATTCGTCCTTGTAAAACATTTAATAGTTCACAAATGATACGCGATTTTAAAGTAAAATTATTTCTTAAAACACTGCAAAAAATTTCATTCATATTGATAAAGTGGTATCGTCATAAAGTGCGTTGAAATGAACAGTGGTATAGCAAACATCGAATTCCCTCACAAAATGTTATCACACACTACAGTAAGGGGAGTCAGTTAAGTTTGTCTATTTTTAGATACTATACAGGTAATCATTTGACACTACGTATACAACCTGTGTGACCTGTGTAGTGATTTTGATTTTACGATAAATTCATGAATGAACGATAATTTTATGAATGAACATGAGCACCTGACCTCTTTCTTAAACACCTATTAAACATATAAAACCGTATTTAATAAGGAGATAATTCAGTCAAATTTTTAGTACTAAATCAACAACTGAAATGATTCCATTTTTTGATGAAACATCGTACGAACGGAGAACGGAATCGCAGGTATAAAAATGCACCTTTTTCCCTTGTAATGACCGCGGATCTATAATTTTTATAGATCGGTTGAAATCCCAAAACTAATTTGCATAATGGAAATTTAGGCGATAGCAATACATCGGAATGACCCCAAGGTCATCCTCTGTAAAAAGAAGGATACATTTTGATCTTAAGTACCTGTTTGGGTACTTCCTAAGTTCCAGGAATAGTACGCTCTTGAATTAAAGGTAATTTGATTTTTTTTCAGCACACGACAAGTTAGTAGTGCTTTGGCATGAAATGTCTGCCACTTAATTAAACTGAAGACAAAAGAGTTATGAACGCTTAAAATTAAAAAAATAAATAAAATAGCAATGGGGGCTACACATCAGTGGTGTGTCTCCAATACACTAAACTTTTCACAAATAATATTTACAACATTACTAATAAAAGATATAGGTGGCCGGTCCAAATTGCATCAAACACTTGCACTAATTTATTCAAAAGAAATGTTAAAATCACGCAAAAGAATGGTCGGAAGTGATCTTTGGGAAAATGGTACACAGTTTGACAACTCTGCCAGTAAACATGGTTGCCGCTGTTCTGTGAATATACAAAATGAGACAAAAAATTATCAAAACTAGAAAAAAAACGCTAATGGACCCCATACTACTAAACATTGGGTAAATGTACTTAAATCCTTATTAACTATTCCACAACAGTTACGTAGGTATAGACTGAAAAGCAGAACGGACAAATTTCTATAAGAGAGGCGAAGGAATTCAAACTCATAAGTAGAAAATAAACTGACAACGCCATGGCTAAAAAAGAACAAGACAAACAGTACACAAAACACAAGATAGAAAACCAAAGACTGAGCAACATGAACCCCACCAAAAACTGGGGGTGATCTCAGGTGCTCCGGAAGGATAAGCAGATCCTGCTCGACATGTGGCACGCGTCGTGTTGCTCATGTAGCAATACACAGTTAGGAGTTTGGTTTCGCATTTTGGCCCCCGTCGATTTTTCAAATATGAAAGTTATTGTGCAATGAAATTCATTTTTTGACAACTGAGTACTAATTTAGCCTTCAAAGATGGTTTATAAGAACATCAAGATTATTTTTTAAATGTTTTATGGGCTATGTTCTGTTCGAATCTCCGTATTTTCATAGCTAGGCCGGCCATAGGTCCAGAAATACATGTAATGTTTACAAACACTTTTTTTCTACACGCAGTTTTTGACGCAATTTTACAAAAAAAAATGAGATGAAAGACATATGATTTTCATTGGATTTCTTCATAGATATATGTAAACAGTTTCAGAAAAGGTATTATTTCAAGCGATTGAAATCTACTTCTAGCCAAATTTTGGAAAAATATGTGACATCTTTTCCCCCTTTTCGCAATATTTTCTAACAAATAAATGCAGATTGTTGCCATGGATACACCAAAAAGAAATGATATTTTACCATTTTAACTACTGGATATAAAATCTATGGAAGATTCTGATTACATACATATGAAAATATATGACACAAACAGTAAGCTTAATTCGCAAGAAAGCAATGAAAAGGGGGTGGTAAAATTTATGAGGGTAAATTTTAATATTTTTTCCTAAATGTTTATTGCTACCTCATGTTAGTACACACACGATGACAAGTCTAATTCGGAAGGTCACATTCGGGGTAAATGGGACGGGATTGTAGTTACGACAATTGGAACATATCCGTTGTCATCTGTGAAACGGATATTCCATAACGGTCAACCGACTCGTGATGGCGTCCGTAAAATTTACGAAGGGACGATTTCAACTTCACCACTTGGAACTCTTGGGTTAATAGCTTCCTTGTGAGCAGCAACCCTCTATCAAGGAAATATCATGTTAGGAAATGTAAGCCCTGGAATATCGTATCAAATGGGAGATATATACTCCGTATGCAGGCGCTGCTGGAATGTTGTTACATAGAAATGGAAAATTCACAATTGGGAAGCTGAAATCATCTCTTTCGTCGTAAAGTTTTGTTTTCAACCGACCCTCATTGTCAATTTCTAAATTAAGGGCATACGATACAGTTTTGATCCCATATTGAAATTTTGATGAAAATTTGCATATAGGCTATTTTTTACCTGATTAAATCAAATATGTAATAAAAAATATACCATCATGTGCTACTTTTTGAGTAAATTGAGGTTGAAATTTCAGATATTTCCTCAAAATTCGGATTTGTGGACGTATTTTTCCTTTCGACAGAAATACATAACTTTTTTGTTTTAAAAGATAAACACAAGCTGTTTTTTGTTAAATTATTTTTAGTTTCTTTTTTATATAAATGTTCTAAAAATTTGTACATTTTATTTTTACAATCAACTCATAGTTATCAAATGTTCATGAATGTAGAAAAATAACGTCATTTTTTGCTGTATATTTATCAAATTTAAAAAAATTGCACTATTGACTTATTCATGAAAATTGGTATACATAATCTTCATACGTAATCAAACCAAATGTCACTTTAAAAAAGAGGGGTCCATGAACTCGTTTTCAAGTTAAATCAGTTTGAATGATAAAAATCAGTCGAAAACTGCATCTTTTCCCGATAAGTCACAGTTTGACGTCGCGAAAATAACAATTTACGTTAGCAACGTCATTACCTCCCCTGTAACTGTATCGTATGCCCTTAAGTCAAAATATGAGGCAGACTTAACTGTTTCAGTTGTATCCTTCATCTCAAGTTCGATGGGATAGATGCGTTCAACATAGAAACCAAATTTTTAATTATATATTGAGAGAACATCATCTATATAGCGGAAAGGGAAGTTAAAGGATACTGCTAGCTTCTTTTCTTTCTCCCTAAGGAGTTCTTGTATGAAGTCAGCCTCGTATCAATAAAGGAACAAGTCGACAAGAAGAGGAGCACAGTTGGTTCACTAAAAACTATTAATAGTAGAAAATTTGGTATAAAATCAATGAAACATCGGAAAATCATGCAAAGGAAAAAACACTCAACTCTGTTGGAAACTTATGGTACCCTTCAAAAGAATTATATAGGTGATGATCAAACATCAACAATAATCACCAACGTTACTGAAATTAGCAAGTTTGACAAAATATTCGGATTAAATTATCCGAAAAAATTATGTGTAAAATCAATTAAAAAAATGTTTTGGGAACTAATACACAATTAAACCGCTTGGAGGCGTATTTGTTGATGATCCAAACCATTATCATATTTTCACTTGGATGGAGTTTTTACTAAAAGAAAGAAGAAGAAGAAAAACACGAATACTAACAATCGATATAATCTTTTGGAGAGTCGTCTGTTACTATTCTTTAATAATATGCGAATTTGTGATTCCCTTTTACCTTTAGGATTGAATAACTATAGACGACAACCGCCATCAATTATGAACTCAACTATTTCTAAACCAGAAATTGGACAACTGTTAGTAAATATGATTGAATAACTCATAATTGAAATAAGTTTATGATTACGATATGCATAACGAAGATGTGAGTTATACATCAATCAGGCAGCAACCCCAAAAATTACAAAAAATAAAAAAAAAATCAAAAGACATCTTGAGGTGTCTATGTCATATGTCGAGATCGGAATCTCTCCGAGACTTGAAAAGTAGCGAATGATTTCAACAGAAACTATACAATATCTGCAGCTACGCCAAATTCGCCAAATTGACAAAAATCACATTCAATTAAGATATAACAATATACAACCAATAACGAAATTTCTAACTTTGAACAGCCACGTCAACATGTAGCGGGGTTAATATTGTTTTTTTTTATAGATCTTAACCCTCCTTATTTTATTCCCACAAGTGGCCTAACAAAGGGTACATAAAAGGTAATACAATAAAAAATCAATGGTAATATATTTTTAACTCTAGAATAAGGATATGATAGATAAGTAAATAAATACTGATCACGATCACCAAGACAATTTAATTATGATTAACCTTATATTTGATTTGTATATAGAATATGCATTAATAGGGCGAAATAAAGATACATTACATCATTTTCATAGACACAATAACAATATAAACCAAGTACAAGTAGTAGTAATAATGTCAATACTTAAAAGTTTCACACTGAGTTGGTCGTCCCATATTTACCATGTTAGTGTTCTCAGTTGGTTTTGATACAGTTCATTCAGTAATTGTAAGTAAGGTTTGTATAAGACAAAATTTAATTTCTTATTCAAACAAATTACTTTAGAAAATGAGATTTTTATATTGCACGAGTCCGAAGCGCTTTTCTGGATTGACCGTCATCAGGAACGTCCAAAGCCGCTTTAAACTGTTTAATGTTTCCTAGCCAGTATACAATCTTTACTGCTTTTCTTGACTTCAAAAGCAAAGCGTAGAATAACAGTATTCTATAAATACTAAAACACTTAATTATTGTGTCATACTGTCAATGTGTTATCTGTATTCATCTTTCATGGTATTAGTTTTGGCACATAGGACCATATAGGCGATATACATATGTTATTCAATTATTCAATTTCTAATATATATCAATGGTTCATATATATTGTATGAATATAGCATTCGGTGATTCTGTAATATATGTTTCATGTATTCCTGCAATTTTCATATTAATTGAATAGTTACACATTTCCGAGTCATTGGTAAATAATTATTCAATTTAGATTTATAACACTTCTCAAATTCCAAGGGTTGCAAGGTGTTGTCTCGCTTTTAGTCGTAAATCAGCAATGCTGGAATTTTTAGATGTCTTTAAATTATTGTCATGTAATGTTGCAAGGTTTAATGCTGTAGCATAGTGATGATGGTAAAGGAGAAGTGGATGAATAGCCGGTGGATGTGGCGTCGGTGGAGCCGTGTGTAGAGGATAGTACGGTAGAAAGGGTTGAAAATGAAGTCTGTCAACTGCATCTCTGATTGGTGGAGACGTCACGTATGTCCCTATTCGTACAGCGTCCAATGGTGTTCCATGTCCTGGCATCATAATTCCTGCTGATAAATAAAAATGTCTACTTTAAGAACAAGCAACTGACCAATTTTATATTTTTGCATATACAAGATATGTAGATTTACTTAGGGGTCTGTTAACCATTGGAGTATCACATTGTCAATATAATGTTTAATGAGGATTTTTTTATATACTCAGTTAAATAGAATTACATATATTTTAATTAAAAAGCTTAAAATTCAAAAAAATGAATTTCATAATCAAGATATTGTCGAGTAGAAGTATACAGTTAAATTTTGAAACATAAAATTAAACATATTTGTTGCTAAACCTTCTTTTCTTAGAATATATAAAATGTCCAGAAAAGCTGAAACTTTTGAAAGAACAGTAGGGAATTTGACTAAAATCCACAAGTTATTGTCACCGACTGTTGGGTGAGTAACAGTTAACCGTCAGTGGCTTCGCCCAAAGGGTGGTAAATATAAGAGGAACATACCTAATTAGTTGTTTGCAGTACTCCACTAGATTAACTAAGTCAACCCGTCATATAGATTTATCCGAGTTAAGCCCAAAGTTAGTTTGAAATTATATTTATATCTTCCAATCTTTCAAAATAATAATAATAATAACTAAATAATAAAATAGATAAATGAAATGAATTAAAATAAATAAAAATATCAAGCTAAAAATTTAAGCTTAATTAAAAAAGATTTTTTATATTGCTATTGATATGAACAGTTGTACTTGCAAACATAAAGGTAAATTTTGAGTGGAACATAAAGAAAACTAAATACCCGATACCTGTAGGCATCCATCAATCGTGTGCTTACAAAAAAAACAGAGTACCGTATGTATTGTAAAGTTGTTAAGATTAATGGTCTTTGACATTTCATTCAGTGCTTGCTTATCATCAACAATAACAAAATCTTTTTGTATATTTGTAGTCGAACATTTCAAGGGTAGTCCAAGGTTGTATGACCTGACTTAATTCCCAATTTACTTCTTTTAATGTCATCTTTACATTTAAAGCTATAATCTTTCGGTGTCAACACAATTCTTGAGAGTTTCTATTTAGTTACAATGTGTGTTTTGTTCATTTTATTTTCAGTGTTGACAGGTGTGTTTTGCATAGTGTTGTTTGTTAAAGAAAAACAAATCGAGATGTTCCTATGGCATTGCCAGTTTGGTTTTTCATTTATGAGTTTAAATATGCCTTTGGTATCGTTTTTTCGTCTCTTTTTTACTTCGCGACATGATAATTTCTCATTGTTATTTGCTCAATTAATTAGTCGAAACGCTATATTCTCCGGCCATAGTCGTTTGTCTATCTATTTGATCGGTACTCGAAGTAACGGTCTTTCTTTATGTTTTTTCTAAGAATTTAAAAATCCATCTTTCTTTAAAACTTTTTTTTTAAATTTTGATGCATCCACCAAATTTAAAACGTTTTAGATATGGTGGATGCATCAAAATTTAAAAAAAAGTTTAAAAGAAAGATGGATATTTTTTTTACGAAGAACCTCCTATTTTCCATAGAAAAGAGGTTTTAAGCAGACCTGACTGTTTTTGTTATGATTACATAATTCGTAGTCATTTTCATTTAGGACAAGAGACTTTGTGAAGATCTTAAGATTATTTCAGATACCAATTATGGATATCAAACAGTGGATCTGTTCCGCAATTTATCATAATCTGACAAATTTTCTAGCCAATAATTGAATATAGGGAGAAGTGTTTACTTTAAATATACAATCTTCTGACAGAAAATATTAAATAACCAAATCCAAGACTTGATGAAGTGTTTTGTTAATGATCTCTAATAAGAGAACATCACCCTGCAACCGTTTTTCTCTTTAATTAATCTGTCCCTTGCTCTTTTGAAAATTGAATACGTCAAATACGTTATCCCATAGATTCATGGCAGGAAGCATCATAGTTCGCATAAGGTCGTGTATTTTGAAAGAGAAAAAATTGAGGGGCCGAGTCATACAAATTCGTTGTTATAGACAAATATTTGTGCTTGGTAATTTATCATCGCGTAAGCTATTCAAATTTTCCGTAGTTGTTCTTTTGTCAACAGAAGAGGCTACAGCAAGCAATATTTGTTCACAATTTTTCTAATAAAATAGTTGATGAAGCCAATTTAGCGTTGATTATACATTGCTATTTTGTAATTCTACACGATGAGGTTTAATCAAGGAACCAAGCTTGTCAGTCCCCGCGACACAAGGGTTGCCCAAAACTGTCGATTTAAGGTTAACCATTCATAGTTAATCAAACATTGCAGAAATTCTTATTTTCAAATGAACCATATATGGTAACGTGTATATTATATCACCAGCAATAAGATAGAGATTAATCATGATTAAACTGCATGTAGAATAGATATGCAATCAATTGAAACTTTTATTCTACGCAAATATTGAATGCAAACTAAGAGAACTAACAGATTAAAAATCTGAAGTTATTGTCAACAAAAAAGTATATTGGATAAATAACAATAGTGATAGTCTGTTTTCCTGGGTATATTCTCGTCATTGGCAAGGAGCCTTGGATATGAAAATAAAATATGCATCTTATTATTTTTTAAAGGTCATCATTTAGTAGTACTAGTATTAAAAAAATAGTCATCATATTAAAATCATTATTCAGTCTTTCGAAAGTAGATTTTTTTCTATTACTCAGTTTAGAGACTTGGATGTACATATCGCTTCTCCTCTAAGGGCATCATTCGGTTGATTAAATTCTACGTTTGTGTATAGTTACATAGGCGATCTGAGTAATACGGGTCTTTTGATCTTGATTTCTCGACGGAAAGTTTGAAAATCAGTTCCAATTCTTATAGTATTTAAATTTGTACAATATAGTTCATTATGAAATATAAAGGTGGCAAGATCAAAAAAGTTTGTGTATGTCACTCACAATACAATATGTAAAAATTCTGGAATAAAAGAAGATCGAAGATTTTGTAATAACAAAATGTAAACATAGATACTCCGTATCTGTTTTCCAAGGAAATATTACGTTGATTGAAATAAATAGCTCATTTAAACCATTACCGAAAGTAATATTTACATTTAATTTTTTTTATTTATACATGTGTAGTTTCATGACTGAACATAAATTTTAAAAAAAATGGTCCATTGATCAGCATCCGTTTGAAACTAGATCCATTGAAATTAAAGTTTGCGAGGTTTACTTTCATATGACCGTCAATTGTTTTCATGTAGATGTTTATTGCCAGGAACGTCTTAGGCAGCGGAACATTAGATCAATTGTTTCAAAACCAATAAAGACTTAAAACAGGGATATCTATAAATCTTCGACAAAGAGCAAAACCCATATAGCACAGAAAGCTATAAATAGGCCTCGAAAAGACAAATGTAAAACAATTTAAAGATCTTCTGATCAATTTAAGGCAGATCACTACCGACTGACTACCACTATCAATTCCCAGAGCATGGCGTTATGGAAGAAAGACTTTGTCGGGAGAGGTTTTGGAGAATTAAGTTCAAAACATTGGCACTGTCATATATCAAAAAAGAAAATAATACATATGTGTAAAAGAGAGGTTAAAGATATCAAAGGTATAAACTCATAAGTCGAAATTTAACTAGACATTGCCATTGCAAAACTAAAAACCACAAAACGACAAACAACAGTATACAAAACACAACATAGAAAACTAAAGACTGAGCAACATAAACCCCACCAAAAACCGGGGTGGTTTAGGTGCATCGGAAGGGTAAGCAGATCCTGCAACACATGTTGCACCGTCATGTTACTGATTTAAGTACAAAGCCGGCAAACAGTCTAATCCGGTAGGTCACATTCGAGTTCATATTGAGTTTTCGTTAGGTAGATATAATATTCCTCCCTAATAAAGATTAACTTCCACACGAAATCCATGAACAGACATGAATTCGGATGCTCGAAATACTTAATTGTCAATTCTAATCCACCGCTATAAATTCATGGAAATCAAGTAAAGGAAAGCAAGTATTCATTTTTATAAAGATAATCAAATTTCTTTTTCACTATTTCATAAAAATGAAATACCATTGAACTGTTAATGCGAGTCGTTCGTCAAAGACATTAAACAACCGTTATCAAATTGTGTAAATCAGATTAATAACAGTAATTATTTCCAATAAAGTTCTATTCTTCAGTAATACAATCAATACTAATAAAATCAATTTCAGCGACGCTAATTTAATCTTGTTTCTTATTGGACTTGTACAAATGATAGAAATCGAATGGTGTCATCTTTTCCACTCAAGGTGTAAAGTCACAGTTTTGATAGTTTGGAGAAACAGTGTTTATTAAAGCGGGAATCGGGAGATGATAAAGAAACATTATAATAAAAGTAGAGACAGATCGAAAATACTAGTAAGCAGAAGCAAAAACCTAAAAGTATCAGATGATGAATAATAACTAAAAAGAAAAAAAAACTAAAGAAATGAACGTTTGAAGTCGTATTGTACTGTATATATGTACACGATCGAATGGCAGTACAAGCCGTCGAGTGATTTCAGTTTTTATTCAAATATTGTTATAAATCTCGGTAATGATCCTGTCCTCTGTTTAATCACAACAATGTTTTTCAGATTAGTTTTATTACACAGATGTTTCCCAGTATATTATATTACATGAGGTGTTTTCCATTATTACCTTTACTCCAAGTTACAATCTTAACACCTGACACCTACTGGTTTTGATTCTTAGACTAGACAAGTTTTAGCTTTCTAATAAGCTTTCGAGTGCTTCGCTGTATCATACTTTTTAGTAAGATGTGGTTTATGTGGTTGTTTCTTTGTGCATCTCCTCCTAAGTATGGTATTATATGCCTGTTTTAGATGGGACGTATTATGGTATACCGTAATTTTAATTGTCCATGAACACTTCCTACAAAAACAAAGTTTTTCCTTAAATAATTCCCACAAAATTTTTAACGCAATAGGATTGACAGAAGAAAGCTTCTTTTTGATTTTAACATTTATTGGTGGCGTCATTTCATAGATACCGTTCGATTTTGAAAGTTTATGATTTGTCAGTCCACAGTAATGGGACCTTGCCGGTCAAAATAAATAAAAGGTAATATTACATATGGTGTAGCATTCTCCTGTTTTCATTGGATATTACGATCACGTATTTGAAAGGTTATTTTATGTATCCGGAGCCTTGTTTCTATTTTTAAGTACTAGTATATTGACGCTATGTTTCTATTACGGTCAATATGAAAAATCTTGCTAAATTTAGATTAATGACGTCATGACGTCACACACAACAACCATTAAGGAAGCGCCGCAGCAGATGAAAAGAAAATTTGCAAGTTTATCACAAGAATTTTTATGTTAAACGCAGACGCTAAGAATACATAAAGCTAACGCAACAAGCTATGGAGTTGTTTAAAGAATATTGATATTTTCAATAACATGTTAAAATTCTTGCAAAATACAATTTAAAAATACACAGAAAGAACATTGAACGCCATTTTCCTAATACATTATTTAGTTTTGACGCAATAATTATTTGCATATGACTATCCTCATATATTTTTCCTACACCGCCGTTTTACTAACTTGTTATGGAGTAGTACATTGAACGGCGTATATTTTAAAGCGTTACATTTGACTAAAATATATTCCGCGTGAAACAGTCCTCACGTGATATTCATGTGACGTTATTATGTATTTGAAATTACGTGAAAAATACACATTTAGCATTACTTCATACATTTACCACGTCAAAATATCAATTAATCAAAAATTAACTGCTTGAGCCTATTTATTAATATGAATTTCACGCGACATTATATAGTAAGGTAAACCAGTAAAGGCGAAATAATTCATTCATCGGGTATCGGATCGGGCTTCGAATACCCATACTGTAATTTTTACGCATTTACTATCTTTTCCTGTCGTGGACATGTTCTGAATTGTAAAAGTCTTTCTAGCCAACAGAATCTTTTCCACATCACAAAGGAACCAATGAGAACATATATTTATTAAGTAATTATATCAAGATGGCGTGGATATCGTATAAAACTAATAGCTTCACACCGTGACGCGAAGCAATACAATTCAATGAAATATCTACCCCAGAATGCATAACCAGACACAAACATCTAAAGATCAGGATATTACCTTGCTTTGTCTTATCAATCGATTTATGAGATTTGAACATCGGTAAAATACTGTTGCCTATTCATCACCACCGGGTCAGAATCTCTGCTGGTGGACACTATTGTCCATTAGAATTTAACCAGCCCGGTAGCTTAACTCCATGTTGAATAGTAATTGCATTGAATTGTCTTCTTAGTGGATTTATGAGATTTGAACATTGGTAAACTAGTGTTGCCTATGTAATATAAGTTGTAAACTTGTTGACATGAAATGAAACTAATACAATTTAAAAAAAACGTACCAAAAAATCCCAATAAATACCCAAGGCTTAGGGAGGTATTGTGAAAAGTTGTGACTAACCACATTCACATTTTATTTAATGTTTTCAAATTATTTTAGTTTTTTCCATGATTTCATGGATTTTTTTCACTGTTCGAACAGCGGTATACTACTGTTGCCTCTATTTGCCAGTTCAACAGTGTATGTCATTTTAAAAGCAGACTGTATATTTATTTATATCAAACTCTCCGTTTACATTAAGATTTATTTTTATCACATTGTAAAATTGCATTGCCTTAAATGTTCATGTTTTCATCTTATTGTTAGAATGGTCTACAGAATAAAAGTCAACTCATGATAGTTTTGTACTGTCTTAACCAATATTTGGATTGCACCATTACAGGAAAAACTACAACCTGACTGATGTGTCATGAAAGAATATTTCATTTCGTGGCATACAATAAATCGACGATAACAAAAAACCCAAGCCCTCATTCAACAACAGAAGCGATATTAGAAGAACAGACCCTGTATAGGAAAACCGATATAAAGGCCAAAAATGGAGCATTTTACCATCCGTGAAAAGGCTGAAATGGAACAGAAAACAATTGACATGCGTTGACGTTTGAGATGGAACACGCAAATATACGCAGAGAGGCTCAAATGGAACAAGAGGCCGCAGTTGTCGTTTGTGGAAAAGCTGAGCTAAAGGACACTTGGACCTTCTCGAAACACAGAAACAAGCTGCGACCCATATCCGTGAGTGCGACGACCAATTTATGGGAGACTTACGGGTGTTGGGTAGCACCGATAACGTTTCTAGTGCAACGTAAGTTGTTACCAACAACAGACAATCAGTTCCTGATCGTGCCTAGCTGTTAGATACCAGTCTTTGAAATGGATGGAACGTGAACACTTACTTACATTTGTGAATAATATTCTGGACAACAATCACGAAGAACATTCTTCTGTGGTGTCTTTCATACAAAAAAACCTGACAAATCAAAGCTTTAAACTGTTACGGAGTCTCACTGTTTACAAGCCAAGACTTGTCGAATGATCTTTTTGGAGTTCTCTTGCGTTCCGCAATGAAATGGACACTGTAACTGCTGATGTCCATCACGTGTTATACTGTTTTGTGGTTAGAGAAGACCAGAATTATCTGAGATTTTTATGGCATGGGGACAACGACCTTGTCGAATACCCAATGAGAGTGTACGTTTTCCGAAACAGTCCGTCACCACTAGTTGCTACGATTAAACTCAGGGAAACTGATTAGGGCAACCACGTGACACATTTTATGAAAAGGAATATTTATGTCGACATGACCTACTAAGGACTCAACAAACACTACCCATATATGGAAACCTAAGGCTAATAACAAAATCGCCTCTAATTGTACGGAAGTATTGTCAGCATTTTCCGCTTCCAACCTTCAACACTCGACTTGGTTGTAACCACTGGAGAGGAATATTGTAAACAATCAAAGAGACATCTTGCCTTATATTTCAGTTATTTTATTTTCATTCTCTATATGTATGTAAAAGTTAAGATAAAAAATCAGCTACTTTAATATATGATTTTAAGTGTAAAGGTACTATATGCACAGGATTTTCATGTTTATGCACAGTTTTGATTTATAAGAAAAATCGACATGGTTGGAAAATACAAATAATAACACCATTACAAACACAATTTCATTTTGATATTCTTGTCATGGTTAGAAAACACATAAAATACAAACTCAATCCCAATTTTATAGTCTTGTACGTGTCTACATAAAACAAATCTATTCTATTTTTAGAAATTTACCTGTGATAATACAAACGTCACAAAAATACGTCACTTTTTGTGGCGTTGATACATTCGTGTGACGCGCAGTTTATACTTCGTTTGTGGTGTTCTGATGTACTGTCGTAAATTCATGGGAGGTGTCCGTTGTTATTCTGTGGTTTACATGTTGTAATGTACTATTTTATTATTTATTTATGTATTTTTCTATTCTGGGTGTTCTTGCGTGTATTTGTACTGTATTCCTGTCACGTAATGTTGTCATTTTAGCGGTATTTTTAACATTGCCATATAAGCAGGAAGTTTGGCGTGCCATAAAACCAGGTTCAACCTACCATTTTTTCTTTAAATGTCCTGTACCAAGTCAGGAATATGGCAGTTGTTATCAAATAGTCCATTTCTATGTATGTATGCGTTTGTTTTTGTTGCAGTTCAGTGTTTCTGTTGTTCCGTTGTTTCCTCTTACAGTTGATGTGTTTCTCTCGGTTTTAGTCTGTAACCCGGATTTGTTTTCGCTTTATCGGTTTATGACTATTGAACAGCGGTATACTACTGTTGCCTTCATTTACGATACGCTTTGATTTTTAGCTTCGATGAATATACATGTATACACGAAAAGTCTTTCTCAAGAAAGTTTTTAAGGTTTTGCAATGTTGAAATTTACAAAATGTAAGAATAAGATGTGGTATGATTGCCAAATGCGACAACTCTCCACCCGAGACCAAATGACATAGAAGTTAACAACTAGTACATACTCGATATATATAAAATGTCAATTTTTTTTCTTAAGTAAAGTGATGTGATAATATGTCGAGTCACATTTTGTTGTATTTTATGCTATGTGAATTGATTGACCATGCATGTTTATGTGAATATATTATGTTCTCTTGTATACCCGTGTGTCTGAGGATTGATAAATTATTATTGTGATGTTTATTTTCTTATCTAATTCATCTCATCATTAAAAAAAATTAAGGAGAGAAACTGTTCATATAGTTCATATATAGCGCCTACAAATTTAAGAATATATCAATGACGCATATATTTTTTAAGAAAGTGAAATTCACACTTTATACATTTGAAATTTCCATTCCTCCAAAGCGCCTTAAATTGAAAGTTACGTAGATAGTAGAAAAAGGTATATAAGACAAATAACAAATTATGATTAACCTTTGCCACATATATCTAATGTCTTTTCATCGCATTTAGATAATTTATTTATGAAAGCATCTTTAAGCACCTTGGGTAGAATTGAATGATTAAAAATGTATCAGCTTTTGATTATCTTTGATATGAATAAAAGTAGAATTAAGGTTTTCTGTTAGCATACTGTACTCATGCTATGATTCGCTAACAAACAAAGGTAAACCGGCTGAGAATAACACACTAGAGCTATGTTCCGCATATGTAGAAAATAGCAACAACATATTAACATAAACAAAACAAAAAAGCACACAAGAACAAAAAGGAAAGAAAGATGGTACTTAAAATGAATATATATATATATGAAATAAAATATGCCCCCTTGGAAACCATACCTTTCTGCATCTGACTCTCTTGTTTTCTGCATTTTGCTCGCCTATTCTGGAACCAGACCTGACAAAAAATAAATTAAATCAATTTACATTACTTTCATCAACTATAATCTGTACTCCCAATAAAATTAATTAGATTTGTTTGTTTATTTCATCACCTTAACCTTCAAATTAGATTTTCATTTTCGGGATTAAATTAATTACTCCGCGTATACAACGTTAAAGAAGTGAGTTCTCATATGCTTAATAGTATAAAGGATTTTTGTATGGACACTGCTGGGAAAATATAATTGATTGTGTTTCAAGTGGCTGTCGAAATGATCGTAAATGAATTAACGATTGACAAAAGAAACAAGACGAAGAAGAAATATTTTCTTTAATTTTCGATGATTTGTTTTTGTAACATATGAATGAAAGTATTGCTTAGAAGTATTCAAAATGAAAATCGTTACAAAATAAGTTTTTTTATTCATAGATACTGTTACCTAATTTGTTAAAAAGTTATATTTTTCGAGACCAAACATAAAATTATAAAGAATTTAATAAATTTCGTTACTTAGTATCTTCCATTCATATTTAATTCAGATCTTTCATGTCAATGTCTAAATATTTTGAAATTGCTTTTAATAAAAATTGCATTCTGTAACTTTGTCTTATTTTCGGCGATTCAAATTACTTTTAATAAATTATTCAGCATATCACAAGTTATGCAATATTTCAAAAATCACTAGTAAATGTGTATTGACCTTGTCGACATTTCATCTGTGAGTATAGAACATTTACAATATAGAAACTAATCTAATAATTGTTTTCCTAATTATTCCATTAATCTTCTGAATTTTTGTTGTCGTGTAATTGTCAAGTGATGTAGCTTGTAGAGAAAGCAAAATAAGACAAATAGAAAATAATTATCAATTTTTACTACAGATTATTAATGTCTTTCCATCGAAATTAAGATAATTTTAGGATAGAGCACAATATGTTGAAATAACATGAGAATTATCTGAAAAGAGATTATCCTTAACAAGGGAATATGTCCAAATTAGAGACATTGATTCAATCAGTGAGCAAAGGATATCAATTGCTGATGACACTAATCCAAATCATAATATTCTCTATGGACAAGAAACGGTTTCTTGCTGTTTTATTACTGAAATAAACCTGATAGAATAAAACATTTAAATAATAATTCTTTATTAACTTTGAATCTTGACTCACCTGTTTATTAAAAATGCAGTATATATTATAGTAGTGCATATGGCATATTACAAACAATATTTATAAATAACAATAGGTAACATCATAAATTTCATGTGTACTATAGTAATATATGTACAATAAAAAAAAGTATAGACAAATTTTAGTGTGATTGATTGATTGAATAGTAACTTTCACGTCAACCCCAATATGACGACGATATAAATCAAACCCTTTAGTTTAACATTTATAATCAATTGTAAAGAAAGGCAGTATGCACAAAAATTCTATATGATAATTTCTTTGTCACATGGGCATTATGACCGTTTTGAAATTAATTATTGGATGTGGCTGTGAATCTTGTCAAACATTGCAGGATCTGCTTTCCTTGTTCACGCACCTATTCTATTTGGTGTTCGTTTATTATTGTTTTCCTTCCATTTTCTCTCTCTTTATACATGGACGTTTGAGATTAAAATTGAACATCGGTATACTACTTTTATATTTACCTGGCATTTGTCAGTATCTTAAGTTGGAAACCTTCCATGTTAAAAAACATTTATCCTAAGTAGGAAACCTCGTAAATTATTTGCTTTAGTTTGTACTTTAAGAACTACTTGTTCTTAGCTGAACTTTGATAGTCTCTTAAATTAATTCAAAACTTCTGGATTCAGGGCGATTTAGAGATTGACATCACGGTTGGAAATTTATTTATTGTTGAATATGAATACAAAAAGATTTTGGGTTTATGTCAATAAGACTGCAAAAGAAATTATAAACCATCTATAGGTAAACACACGGTCTAAAACAATAGATAATTGTCTAAAAAGAATGCCAAGCTGTCAGTCGCCCCTGATAAAGAAAATTTTTGAAATGATTTAACAGTGAATATCAACGAGTCAATAGCAACTACCCTAAAAATTAAGTATGAAGCTCACCGGTGAAAGAGCATTCAAAACAAAGAAATTCTAAACTACGAATCTAAATCGCCTCGGGTTCAGAAAAGTGGTGAAAAAATTTAACAATGACTACCAACGATACGTCATTAAAACCTATTTCCCTAAAGAACAAAAACATTGATGCATTATTTTTGGTGCTTTGACGGTAGTAAATATCCACCTGTATGACCCCGCTTTGCAAACTTGAAATCTGTAAATGGTGTCGGTAGCTTTTCAAATATTTGGGTAAAGTCTAGATACTAGATTCACATATTCCATAAAGACCATTTCAAATATGGGATTATTGTTATGCTCTAAGCATTTCAAACGTATACTCGATCTACCGGTATGTAAAAATGTTTCCACGACCTTTATATCAATTGTTCGTTTGAACTGAACCTAAGAGTACTACATTTATATGGTGAAAATTGCCAGGTACTCGGAGAGACCATAAAGTGGAGCGAATATGTATCCATTTTTAAATAGCTTTATCGAAAAAGCCTTAATAAGTGGATAACTTATAGCTGTGATAGTATGGAGTTTCCGGAATAGCATTAAGTAGATAACGTATTCGACAAATCGAGATGACTGACCAAAAGTTAGAGTCCTATATCTATATTTGTCCTAACTTAACGGGAACATAAAGTAAAATCTTTTTCTTCAAAATGAAAATAAAAGAAAACATTCCGCATGTCAAAATATCATACAAACAAAGTGTTTGAGTGATAGCCGGTTTAGATAAAAAGAAAACTCATATAATAAAGAATTTAAAACACGGAAGATACCAAGGAGACATTCAAAGCTCATAATAAACTCATCATTTATACCAAGATTAAAATTGTGTACGCCAGACGCGCGTTTCGTCTACAAAAGACTCATTAGTAACGCTCGAATAAAAAAGTTAAGGCCAAATAAAGTAAGAAGTTGAAGAGCATTACGAAAGGTTTACCAAATACAGCTAAGGTAGTCATTTCCTGGGATAGAAAATCCTTAGTATTTCGAAGTTTTGTAAATAGTTTTAAAATTTGTAATTATGACGATATCAATGATAATTCATGTCAACACAGAAGTGCTGACTACTGGGCTGGCGATATGGAGAGAATAGTTCCCCTTATAGTGGCATCGACCAAGCCGTTGTAAATAAACTCATCAGTCAAAGTGAAAATAACAACGAAATGGCTAAAAACGAAAGTTCAAGTTGTCATTTTTGCCCTCGCATTTGGGCATTTTCAAAGGGATCTTTTGTGGAATTTCTTCATAGGTTTCAACCATGCAAGAAAAGTTAATTGGTTATATATAATCAGATTAAAGCGAAATCAACTTATTTTTCTATTACTTTATTCGCAATATATATATATATATATATTTCTAAATTACAATAAGAAAACAATATGATTTGAGTTTGATTTTAGTCATTTGTTTGTTTATAATATTGCTTGATATGTACGGTTCCAATATAAACTTGAAGATGCGGTATGAATGCCAATGATACAACTGTTCACCAGAGACAGAATGACGTAGATGGTAACAAATATAGGTCCAAGACTATTTCTTAAAAATGAAATCATAAGATACTCATTATGTTTATCTATGAAAGAGCATATCAAAAATAAAACTGACAACGCCATGGCAAAAAAGAAAGAAAAAGACCAAAAGACAAACCACAGTATACAAAACACAACATAGAATAGTAAAGACTTAGCCACACGAACCCAACCAAAAACCGGGTGATCTCAGGTGCTCCAGAAGTCTACGCAGATCCTGGTCCACATGTGGCACCCGTCGTGTTGCTCATTTTAGTACCAACACGGTGATAAGTCTTATTCGGTAGGTCAAATTCGGGGGAAAGGAGGGCGGGATTGTGGTTACGACGATTGGAATATATCAGCCTTCATTTGTGAAACAGATATTCCGTTTCCTTGAGAACAACACCCCTTTATTAAGAAAATCATGATAGAAAACACAAGCCCTGGGATATCGTATCAACTGGGAGACAAATACTCCATATACAGGCGCTGCTGGAATGTTGCTACATAGAAATGGACAGTTCACAATTGGAAAGCTATGACATGCCCCCAGCCTGTCCATGTGAGCCCGACATTCGTATTGAAAATTTATATTTAGCGACAAATCTAAATATATATCAAAAGATTAGTCAAAAATATTTACAAAATGAGTTTAATAATTTAGGGACAGTGAATTCGTATTGACACCTGGTGAAATCTTTATGTATCAAATTCAAACATTAGACATTAAGGGATGTACAAATATGTAGAAACGTTTAACAGTCTACATTCCAGTCAAGGGATTGAGGTAAATTTTTAACTATAATTAATACTCATAAAAATAATTAATTAAATAATTATTTAACTTATATATTTGCTTACATTTTTTCAACGAAAATCGTTGAATGTATATATTCAATCGAAAACTTTTGTCAAAATTATCTTTAAAAACTTCTTTCTCTACACCGGGCACATGATTTTTAAAAAAATCAAAATCAATGTGTAGTTGCCAGATGAATTTCCATTATGTAAAATAATTATAAGGTCGCCTATTTCTTTTTTGGGGTATACTTAATTAGAGCGTCATAATAAGTATAGCGTCGTCGCGTCGTAAAGCCATAAAACGTCGTTTATGACGTTTTTCACCACCAAAATGTTAATAGATTGATTAACACATCAAATACTAAATCTAATTTATACCCAAAAAATCAATTTTAAGGAAAATCTATGTTTTTGATTTGGATATTATATGATTTTATCACTTTTAAAAAACGTGTTTTGCGCTTTTTTCTTGCTTTCAATACTCAAATACATCTATTTTTAAAGAATTCGTGCAACACTATGTCAGAATTAAAAGATTCAAATGCATTATTATTTTCAATTTTTAGTTCAGGTTTATCATACCGCAGTTGAATACAATA